AGTTGTTGTGCACCGATCGACCAAAGGCAGTAGAACCACGAGCCCTAATGCGGTTGATGACCGAAAGTGGTCACGGCGTAGCTTTGCTTGGTACGCTAGTCACTACAGTCAACTTTTTGTAAACGATTAAGTAATCTCCTTTCAATGTTGTAATACGGTTGAGTTCTCATCCGACAGTGGGGCGTTCCTACATCCACGCTGACAAGCGGTCCGACGCCGTCGCGATCGATACTGTCTGGTACGCCCATTCAACTGATTTTGTCATTTTCGGTCTCTGGAAGCTCAAATTAATCTTCTTCCGGCTTTAGTAAAAAAAGGTAAGTATACTTTACCGAAGCTAAATTTTATTTTGCATGGTTTTAGTCACTAAAAAATTTAAACGACGACATTCAAGGAGAATCAAAAAATGTGAAATTAGGAAGAGGAAACCAGTTTTGAAAGAGAAATTCATTCTAAAATCATGCTAAATGTAATTCTATGTTCTAGCAAACAGTGTTCTAGCAAACGAACCCATCTTTCCGAATTGAAGTAAAAAAGGAACTGTTTCAGCTTTTACAAGCTGAATGCAACAGAAATGCAGCAAAAACCCGCAGAAATCAGCTAGAGCGTCAGCAATTATCGATCGGCGAGAGTCAGACGGAAGAGTGAGAAGATAGTGCGGCGGCGTGTGTCCGAGCGCAGAGTCAATGTCCAGAGAGCGCAGAGGCAATGATGATAATTGCCTCAGGCTTCCGCCTTTCCAACGAACGCAACCGTCGGGCCGCCCCACCGTCGGATGGGAACTTCGCTGTATAACTGTATATTCTGGTTCGCTCAGATGATGGGGCGTGTCCGTACCGCCAAATCCATACATTCCACCAGCTGTTAAAGAGTGTAAGTAACAACAACTGGTGGAAAAGATTGATACAAACGATATGATACAGTTTTGTTTGCCCGGAACTTCCCGAAAATTTCAGTTATTCCGAAAAATTTTGCTGTGGGGGCGAAAAGTCAACGACCTTTCTCAGGAGATTAGAAGACAAAGACGACCCTTCTCTTAGATAGCATTCTTCAACACTCGTGAAGAATTCTTCGATTTCTGAAAGAATTACACAAGGAGAATTCATTCAAGTGCTATTTCAGCTCGCATAGATGGCGACATCAGATAGCGTGGGTCAAACGCCTGAGGTGAACCTGCTGTGGCAGAACAATCGGCGCCTTCTATTCGATAACCTGGATGCTCTTGAAGGAGAAAAAACCATTGTGTGGGATAGAAGTCTTATGCAAAGAGTCAACTTGGTAAGTGAAGGGTTTCACCGCTGTGACATGACCTTGCGCAGGACATTCATCTTTAGAGGAAACAAAAATTTATGTGAAATACAGAGGCCTCTGACTTTGTCTTTTTTCAGTTCGCTGGTCCCTCTGTGCTGAAAACCCATGGCGTGGTCAGCAATTTGGCGCTCGACCAATTCCGTCCACCAGATACCCCTTACGTTATCTTTTTCCTGTCTCCTACACTGGCTGCATTGGATGGACTGTGCGAATATATAGACAAATCTAAAGCTGATTCGGTAATTCGTATACCTTCCCACTTAACGGCATTCTTTACGTTTTATTTTTAGAAAACACTTTTCGAGGTGTTTTTCATTCCCGAAGCATGGTACGTAGTCCGTGAGAAGCTGAAGGAGCTAAACGGTGGAAAGGTCCTGTGGTTTACTGTTCAAATGTTTCGAATAATAGGGAGAAAGTCGTTTTGTAGTACTGGGAACGTTTGGAATCAGTACGCGAGCTGCCACTAACTTGGCTACCTCGTGATGGAAATGCTTTGTCGCTAGCAGATCATCAACTTCCATCCAGGTCGGTCAGCTAAATGGTTCAATACTTTCCTGTACAGGACAAGAGAACGGGCAAGAGAATCGTAAATTGCCGCTTTGTCGCGCGCGGCAATGGCGCGACGTTTCTTAAGTTTGCACTACCCTTTCGATTGGAGCATCGGATTTCATGTAGACAAGGACATGGTAGACACTTATGTCTATTTTTGGTCATACATTGTCTATTCTCGACCAATACCACCTAAATCGTCGTCATTAGCGGGCGCGACGTCGCACGCGACGCCCACTGGCGCGGCGAATCACGATTCTCTTGCCACACATCCCTGTACATACGTCGACGATCAAATAAATTCCCAAACATTCTCCGTAGACTGCTGATTAACGGTGACTGGACTCATTTGCATCGTTGTGCAGTGGCTGTACAGCAACTGCTGACACTCTGCCCCCAGTCGATTCCTATCTACAGTCGCGGAAAATGGGCTCAAGATGTTGCTCGAATGGTTCATAAAATGGGACCCAACGAAAGTGTATGGCTTTCCTTTCTGAAATCTTTCACATTACTACTTATTACTATTTTGAAATTACCACTACTTATTACCAGAAAAGAAAACGTACTTTAAGACCATGACTGATTCGATTATAGGAGCAACAATCTCCTCCACTACGTTTAAACCGTCTGGTGATTATTGATCGTTGGATCGACCCTCTTACACCATTAGTACACCAGTTAACCTATGCTGGTATGCTTGATGAGATGTATGGCATCAATATGGTTGGATCAATCAAGGTGAGGTCACAACTATAAACTAGTGAACTCTGAAAAGGGAGACGGTTTTTCGAATCACGCGACGTCGCGTGCGCGTCAATCAGCAAACACCGCCTGCTTGCAATGGAGCGCACGCTCGCGATAACTCGTTGCATTATTGAATTAGATTGTAATCGCCTCAGCTTTCAGCCACGCTCTTCGTCTCTTCGGGGTCACAAGGAGTTATTCACCTTAGCGGAGCTGTTCAGTGTTGGAGTAGGCGGTAGAAGCTTAGTACTAGAATGTTCACATATCTTGGCCTCTTTATGTCAGCGAGGTCAACATCTGTTATGCAGCAGCTGTCACAAAACTATACCGATAAGGCTGCGTTCATACTTAACGGCAGCATCCATCGGCGAACAGCAGCATCCAGCAAAGTCTCGAGGGACTAGGGAAGTACAGATATCGTTCGAGCGAACGCCAACGTCTACATAGGGAAATTCGAGGCTAACAGATGGCTTGCTCAGACAAGTGCGAGCGCACCGTAAAACTGCACTACCCGTGCATCAAGATTTCTGATTCTTTTGTTAGCAATTTACGGGGCGGTTGTACAGGCTGCATTTTCACAATACCTAATCCAGCTGCCTGCTCCTCCCATACTCTCGAGCAGTCTGCTACCCTTCTACTGGACGCTGCTGTAGGCTCCCCATGCTCTTCATTCCTAGCCGCTGCTGTAGGCTGGCAGGCGCTGGT